TAGGGTTTAGGGTTTGGGGGAGGATTCTGATACTACATTCCAACAACCCTATTGCTATCATATGACCAAAGTAGGGCCTTCATTATAGGGATGGGCTTTACCAACATCTTTGTTCAGGACCACCCCAAAAAATATTTGGAGTACTGCAGGGTGTAGGATTTCTACCAGAGTTCCGAACAGGTTAGGGGGGGGTATTTTGAAAGGCGTTCAGGGTTTGAGGTGTCGGGTTTTCGGAATACTGGCTGAGGATTTAAGATGTTGTTTTCTGAGGGCTTAGGCTGTACTGTCTAGTTCTGCAGAAACGGAGTTCGGGCTTTGATCTTGGGGTTTTCGAAAAAGGGGGCCGTTCTTGGAGGGCATCATAAACTCTGAGAGGCTTCAAGGAACTGCCCCTTCCCCAAGTTGACATGGAGCCCCACATACGCTACTCGGACAAGGACCTAGGGCTCTTTTGGGTTCCATGTTTGTTTAGGGGGAGCAGGGGTTCCACCAGGTTGATTTCATCAGTGCATTGTTTGTTTTTCGCCCTCAGCCACAGTCAGAATTTTTGTTCGGTTTTGCAAGTGTTGACTGCTGCTTGCGTCGCACGTGAGAGCCTCAACTTTGTAGAAAGCTCAGAGCAGAGGATGGCCCGGTTTAGGGTTTAGGGTTTAGGGCCATGGTTCAGCCACTGTTTATGGAAACTTCCAGATTCTTTTCATGTTTCGGACCTGCCCGAATTTCCATCAGGACTGCCAGTACTTCTATGAAGATCCTACCTGTCCCGGCCTCGGGCTACATAGGGTTATATGGGGTTACATGGGGATAGTGCCAAAGAGAATTAAAACGGAAACTATAATTCACGGGAAAAATGGAGGGTTGAACTCAGACATGCATGCAGTAGGGATGATTGTCAGGTTTGGGGTCAGGTAGCTTATTTCCTTTGATATGGGTTGATAAGGGCATGCAGGGTTTTGTCCAGCAGCTGAAGTTCTGTGGGTTTGCTTGCTGATGTCTGAAAAGGTTGGTTGTCGAGTTTGGATGTTTTTGGTTTGGATCACCATATGTCAAACGGCCCGAAAGGGATACCATGTGTATTCTGTTCGCTCAGGTGACTTTCTCAGCAGGCCTCATGTTCCCGTGCATGTTGATGGGCTTTTTGCAACTTGTCACAGCTGCCACGAAATTGACCGTGTGGTCTAGCGGAGGAGTTTCTGTCTGAACCGGATAGCCTAGAACCTCATCTCGTGCTCATAAAAAAAATCCGAGTCCCCTAGACCCCAACCCCTCAAACTTTGCCTCAAGCCCTTGGAAAAAGTTAGGGATGCACATTGTGCATACGCGGAGGCTTCTACCCATGCCTGGCCAACGAGCACCTCGGATCTCAAATGGGGATTTCACAGAAAGCATTGAGGGGTAAAGTCTTGAATCCCAATCCCAAAAGGATAGTAGCAGCCTCTAGAGCATCAGCCGAAATTCGAGAGTTGCTGGACACGCCGAGCGGTAGCCGGCTGCCGGACGTTGAATGTTTAATATATTACTACATGACGAAATGGATTCACAAGTAGAGTTGTGATCTTGTCCCAAAACTGGGCTGGCCTTTGGATGTTGGCATGTTTGCCCTTTTTGGTATCATAAAGATCCTATAGACCTAGTATATTTCAATGGACTCTAAAGGTTAAAAAGGGAACCAGACAAGGCCTTCAGAGCTTGAGTCTCGGAAAAAGCCTGAAACCTGGGGCGGATCAGGAACCTCTCAAGCTTCGAGCGTTAGCCCCTCTGCCGGTGTTAGCTGGATCCTTGGGACCTTTAAGCCTCAAGCTCTACACTCGAACTTTTGCCCCTAAAGCCTGAAACCCTAGTTCCTGCAAGGTACCTATTTCAAGTCTGGCGAACTCGGCAAGGCGGACGCACCTGCACTTCAAAACTGCGCCATGAGTATTCGCAGTGCACGCAGGACATGCGGAGCCATCACCTTCACCTCCACTGTAAAAACTAAAGCTATAGTACCATAATTCCCGAGATATAGGGTACCCACCATAGTCATCCAAGGGGACTTCCTGAAGGTTTGTTTCGCCTGAAGGAACAAGGCCAGAGTCCGTTATTCTTTTTGCGAAAATCCACGAAGGCAAGAGATCCGCACATACTAGCAGATAATGATGCAGTCTTTCGAAGCTGAATAACATTGCCCATTGCATCTCCTTCTGCTGACCTTAACCTGGGTCTGGGGTACGTAATGCTTCAGAAGCTGTGGAGGCTAAGAGTGTAGACATGTGTAGACCAGTTCTGGGTGGCGATAAGCCTGTTTGGTAGGCCTTACTTGGATGGGTAAGTATACAAAAACCACGATAAGCCACATAGTAGCCCCAGTTATCCTGATTATTAAACTAGTTACCAAGTCGCCTGACCTCCCAAGCAGAGGGCACAGCTACTAGTGAGAGTTTCTTAAATTTGTCCTTTCTTGACTCCCCAAAGAGATCCCTATACTCCCTGTGTACTCCACATATATCCCGAGGGTCGTTTATACTCCCGTTATATTAGGTACTACAATGAAAATTTTCATGAAAGGGGACATTGGGGGTCACTATTGGGATTATAGGACAACGTGTACTTGCTTCACGCCATCAAAAAGTTATATACACACAAGTGCAAAATCTCAACAGCACTCGTACAAGACCTACCCTAAACTCTGAACCCTCAACCCTAAACAAATTTTAGATGTAGCTGTTGAGGACCTCCTCAAGCAGAACGACCCGGAAGGCCTTGCTTACAGGATGCTGCGCTCTCCGAGATTTTAAGTCTGAGCAGTCATGGGTTCCCTATCATCACCCCCTACATGACTAGCCGCAACAAGGTTCCAACTTAATTAGGGTTATTAAGGATAATTAATGGACGGGGAGCCTCGCGGGGGATGTTGTATAGTAGGTTCTACTAGTCTCTGACAGCCGGCTAGTGTTTTTCAGGCACAAAACCGTAAACCTTTATAGCCCCGAAGATAGATAAGTTCTGACAATTTGAGCGAATACGGTCATCCCAAACTAAATTGAATATCTCCTAAAAAATTCGATCTCCTAAATGGCTGCCCTGAATAAGGGGATCTCAATATAGATAGACCCAGGATAAGATTATCCTGATTACAGTGACGCCTAATTTGGGATTCTAATCAGAATCATAATCATAGCCAAGATATCATACCAAACTCCAAAATAAGCTGCATTGGATGGCCCAGGTAAACGCTGATACCCTACTGTTGCCATGATGTACATGCCTGCAGATACATTTACGCATGTACATATAGACGTGTATGAACACACGCGTAGCCTATACGTATACACATACATGATATCTTCCGATGTTCCACCATGCCCCTTCAGCACTAAGCCAGCTACTGTTGGGGGACCCTTTACGGTGGACATAGGGGTCCTGCTTGTGGTTTAGTATGGTCTCTGATATGGTCCAAAAAAAGGAACCCACGTCCATGAATTATCTGGGAACTATTGACTGCAGCTCATATCATCTCATATCATCTCTATACACCCTACCCTAAACCCTAAAACCTAAATCCTAAATCCTAGACCTCAAACCAACCTCTACACATCCTAAACCCTGATTCATTTTCATTACACGCCGTCACCGCAGGGTTCGGCTCAGGCTCAAATAGGACCGGACCCGGCTTGGTACCCAGGGTGTGGGGGCCACATGGCTGCTGAAACCCTAAACCCCAAGATTTTGGGGGGCTTCAGGGCTCTGCCAGCGCACGGTGCGGTGGGGGGCGGTTGGGGGTAGAGGTCGCCGAGTGAAGAGTTCTAAGCAGGAATTTGGGCTTGTTTTGTTGCAGTTCAGACTTCTACCTTGGAGGCGTGGACATGGGAGCACAAGTTTTGTAGACTTCTCCTTTTTATTGCGTTAGGATTTTGGCTGTTGGTTAGGTTTCTTCTGCTTGAGCATAACCTGATCCTGCAGTGCAGTCTTCCTTCCCACTCACGCTGCAGAAGTGGCTTAGATCCCAAGCATTGGGTTGCCTTGAGTAGTTTGCTCAACGCTTTTGTTGGATGTCCAGTGTTAGCACCACTTTAGCGGCTCCTTGACCATTCTTCTTGCTTACGATAGGTACTCCTCAAAAATGGACCCGCAGAATGGCGGTCCTTCCGCCCGCTCAGAATCTTACCTGAGACGCTTTGACGTTTTTGAACACTCATAGGCCTTAATCCTTAAGCATCGCATCACACGTACTCAAACACTCCAGGTCACCGCAAGTCTTTTGCCTGTTTTAGTCTTCGCTGTAGCAGGCAGCAAACTTGGATTCTTTAGCCAGCTGTGGCGCATAGCAGTCTGCGACCTTGGCGTTGCCGTGGAGCTTTGTCCCTTGCGCTTGTATAACGCATATATAACCCTATATAACCCCTGTATAAGCCCTACATAACCCCTACATAATCCTATATACTCCCTATATAACCCCTATATTGTAAGGTTCAAGCCCAAAGTCCTCAGATCTTGTTGCTTTTCTGCTTGCCTCACAGTTGCTAGACCCTTACTTAGATCCTAAACCCTAAATGGTAGTTTTCATTTTTCCATTATCCCTATATTACACCAGTATAACCATAATCCCTAAGCCCCAACCCACCCCAAAGCCCATCCCAGACCCCTAGAAGGATCTAAAAAAAAGATCCTCTATATAAAGCCATAATAACCCCTATATCATCCCTATATTCATCCCCATAGTCTCCTAGGGGTTCTAATTTTTAGATCCCTTTGGGGGGTCTGGGAACTACATCCTGCTGCAAGAGCCGAGGCCATGTATCGCAACCATCAGCCGCTGAGTTGAAAATTTGCAAAGAGTTTAGGTCTGAGAGGGGTCTTAGAGAATTTTGGGGGTTATATAGGGGGTATATAGGGTTATATAGGGGTTATGTAGGGCTTATACAGGGTTATATAAGGTTATATTTTGGTTTATTGTTGCAGGTGTTGAGTCTAGGTCAATCCCTGTACAGTAAAAGCCCCTAAGCATGGAGTTAATTGCGCCTCAAGAATACCTAATTACCATAGTCATTGTGGCAAAAATTGCTGGGTGGGGGATTGATCCTAAACCCTAAGCACTAAACCCTTAACCCTGAATCCTACCTCCCTAAACCCTTAGAGCTTGAGGTTGAAGTCAGTTTTTTTCTTGCGGTTGGGGGTCTAGGGGTTTAGGGGCTGCGTTTCAGGGGCTTGACGCCGCCAGTCTACGGAGCCAATATAATCGGAGTGGGGCTGCCATGTTTGAGTTTGCCTGGTCGCTGGCTAGACCTACGGGCATTGGTGACGGGATAGTTGCGAAGCCTCCGTCCTGCAAAGCCAGCGAAAGGCTCATGTAACTTGTTAAAGCACATGAAGGGCCAGCACACGGGATCCCTTAGTTTTGAGAGCTATGTGTATCTTCGGTTATTAGAGCGATCCTACCTTGGTTGACAAACTCCTCTATCTAGTCTGATGATGCCTGAGTGTGAAAGTTCGGGTCGGTCTGGGAGCGGAGGGTCCTTTGGAAATCCATTGACTGCACGGGCGCCCTGTTTGACAGTTACATCTTTTAGCTATGTGAGCATGAGCGCCTTGAACAGTCTTGGATGCGTCATTTTCGTTCTGGCTTATGCTTCAGATTCTTTTTGCTATGTTGTCTTGAGGGGTTTCCCAAGCAAAATGCCATCATTCTAGTCATGTCCCCTGCCCAAATCTAAATTACACCGGAAATTTGTCACCGTCTAATCCTGGCAGTTTATAATATCCCCAGCAAACCTGTTCCATTTTGTAACCCTAGCCCCACATCGTGTGGCTTCTCTTTAGGCCCCTACATTGCATCCTAAGCCGCGGAGGTATGACATGGACTGCATCACCTGGAGCCCTGCGGGGCGAATCCTCCAGGCGAGATATCTTAACATCATCATGGTATCGCCGGGAGGCTTTGCAAGGCATTGTAGGGGATGTAGTAGCAGTTAATTTCCGCATGGCATGTGCAGGATTTGCTCAGTTTTACGGGAGGTTTACGTAGTTGTCAGCCAGAGGTTGAACCAATTCGGGAGAATACCGGGAACCTGCGGAAGCGGTTCCTGTCAGGACCGCGTAGCACTTGAAAGGAGCTTCTGGAAAGTGACCGTGTCTGTCTGGGTTGCTGTTAAGGAACTTAAATTAAGTTACTATATTGGGGAAACCCTATTATTTACTATATATACCCATTATGGTAACTTCCTTAACAGCAACCCAGTTGTTCATCAGCCTCCAGTGGAGTCTGTTATGATTCCACAGACGCTTCTCTGAGGGCTTTCGCGGGAAGCTGCCACATGCTTCATGTTTGAGTCCGTTGGGCAACTGATTTTCGCGTTTAGAGAGTTGTGGGTGGAGTGCTTGGGGTCAAGGGCCGCGGAGAATGTTGCGTGCTCTATGCGCTGTGCAAACCGGAAGGGCCTTGAGGAAACATATGCCAAATCTGGAGACTTCTTATACAACGAACAACGACTCCTCGATCAGGGCCCAGATGTGAAGAACGGACCCCCCAGAGGACCCTGAAGGTTAATGGCCACATGCGAAGTGGGAGGATCTCATCGAAACAAACTTACAGAGATTAGCATGATCAAGTAGTCTAAACTCCTACAATCGGGGGGTTATATAGGGGATTATATAGGGGAGCATTTTAGGGCTAATTAAGAAGGATTCTAGGAGCTTAGACTCTAGCTCATTCTCGGGGAGATCAGCTGGCGACGAGTTTCCAAGAGACGAGTCTCATGGATCCGAGAAGTCTGTTATAAAGGGACTTTAATGGGAACCCCAAACAGGGAACTTTGAGAATATAGTAGGAACATAATAGGAATGTACCTACCAGGGTCCATATACTGTATCATATTCCTTCTATATTCTTGGGGTCCCCTGTTTTGGGTTATAAAGGAACTTTAATGGGAACTCCAAACAGGGAACCCCAAGAATACAGTAGGAACGGTTCCCAGTAGAACCCTTTTCTGTTAGTGATAGCAATGGGGTGATGGGTGTACTCCTCGCAATTCCTAGCTCCAACAGCCCTTATAATACTTCTTCTTTCAACTCACAGTTTCCATGAGGGGGCCCAATGAGACCCCAATATGCTGTTATCCGATTATCGGGGCTTCCAAAGAGAGGCTCCGTGGTTTCCTGGAAACCCCCATGTAATCCAGGGTTCCAGGGTGGTATCCTTAAAAAGTCGCTGTTACATGGCTCCCATATAGTCCTCATATGAACTGCGGTAGTCCCTTAGGGTTCCTTCAGAGGGCAGTTGTACAACCCCCAAGGACCTTGGTACAGGGGACCCCACAGCAGTCCCCGAAAAGCATAGTCCTTATCAATAGGATCCCTAAAAGTCTGCTCCAGATTTGGGCAAACCCATAAACCTTACATCCTAAACCCTGAACCCTATATGACCTCTAAATGACCGCCTTAGAGGTACCCCTGATTTTGAGAAACTGTGGTTTCACGAAGTTGCACAGCTCAGTAGTACTTTTATTTGGGGATGCTATTGTACCAATGTAGATTAAAGCTATATCCTCCTTTTGGGTAAGCCCAAAACCCCAAACCCTAATATAACTGTATTGGGTTCAACCAGCAAGAAACGAGACTTATGGTACCCAGTGTAGAGTAAGATTGTATCCTCCTTTTGGGTATAGTAGAATATAAAACCACCAAGAAACACCATTCAGGTGGAGTATGCCATGGAAGCAGTCAAGCAGGGGACCCCCGTGCTCGGCTTACGCTCCAAGGCACAGCTTGTTCTCCCGAAGCCAGGGGAAGGGTAGGAATAATATTTAAGGGGTCACGGTTGGTAGGGAAGAAAGTGTATATGGGGTTGAGGGCTTAGGGTAAGTAGGGAGTCAAGGACTATTGGGATCATACAGGGAATACTGGAAAAGAAAATGGAAATTACTGTGCGAGAGTAGGGTTAAGACTGGGATGACTTGGCTTTTTCCCCCAAAGCTTGGCAAAAGTACCGGGATTCAGGGCTTAGGGCTTACAGAGGGGTTTTGAGCATTAGCGGAGGAAGTCCTGCATGAATATATCACGCACCTAAACATCTGGAATCATCATGCAAGTGTTACTAAAGTTAACGGATTTGGTTTAGTGGCCGTATCACAAGGCAATAGCACATGAGCCATAGTCTAAACTCCTTAAAGGGGGGTTATATAGGGGATAACATAGGGGACTACTATAGGGGTTACTAAGGGGGATACTAGGAGTTTAGACTATACCTCACGCGGCCTCTTTTGGCTGGCAACGACAACTCATTCTCAGTATGTACTCCTACATGAGTGCCTTTAACTTCTGCATAAGCCCAGTTTCCATTTCATTTTCCATTTTCTTCTTTTCCGTTAGATGCTGCATCAACCTAGGTCGTACAGTAGGTCTTGGTTAACTTTACCCAGAACCCTAAACCCTGAACCCTGTCTCTTAAACCTGGCTGCCTGCAGCCTGGTTTTGCCAAGGAAGTATGATTTCCGAGCTTGTTTATGCAAGCGAGTTTCAATACTTTGCGCATTGATGGAGGAAGTCCTGCATGCTTGCTGTGCGCATACACCTTCGGATGATCATACTCGAGTATACATCGGACCGTGCAGGATGTTGTCCAGGAATAGTGTTAAGAGGCCATAGCACACAGGAAAAGGCAATCTATTCTAATGACCCAGCCCCCACTTTATAAGCCACTATGTAAGACCAGTGTCCATTTTGTCATTATTTTTCCATTCGATCCTCCGCTAACCTGAGACTTCAGGCAGTGCAGTAGTTTGCACTTGTCTTTTGTAACCTGTCAGCCTGCAACTTCGTTTTTCCAAGACAGCTTGATTCCTGAGATTTTCTGAGTCTGGCAAAGGTCTATACACGGAAGTTTCAACAAACCCAAAATGCACGCTCCCGCTAAGTTGAGAGTAAACATCTGGCTTGCATAATTCTAAAATCATGCATGGTCTCAAGTGCCTTATACAATGAGAAACTATGCCGCTTTAATTGTATATTGAGGTCTGTCAGGGCATTTAGGTCTAACCACAGGAGTTGGTTAGGTTCAGGATCAGTACAACCAAAGTCATGACAACTGGCAGTCACAACCCAGTCATCAACATGTATGGGGACTTACTGACTGTAGGGATTTAATATTTGGGGTAGAAGTATTACAGTTGGATTACAGTTACCCCAAACCCTATTTTACCTTAATATACCCCTATACTAGATAACCCCCAACCCCTAAACCCTAAACCCTATAGCAAGTACAATTACAGCTGGGTTAAAAGTTGCCCTGAACCTCCTGTAGGGCCCAGCTCCTTGCAACACTTCGCAACCCTGTGGCGAAAGTTCGTCTAGTGTTTAGGGTTTAGGGGTAATCCGCCGTCTGTTAACTCCGTGAAAGCCAGAAATGACATGGTCAGCTAATTTTTCCGCTGCTTGCAGTCTCTGACTAGTGTTAGTTTTGGAGCGTAGCATGGTGCCTGGAGCTACTCTTCTCCAAGTAATCTAGCCAAGTCTGGATGCAACAACTTACTGGTGGCTCATCAAAGTATAACCATATTCCCTATATAGTAGATCCCCTTGTTCCCTACTAACCCCCAGTAAGACAAGATCTTCGGCTTCAGGGCTTCACTTCCCTTAGGTATAGTAGTCCTCATATAACCCATTATTGTAGTTTCCATTTGCTTTCCCATTCCATCATTCCCAGCTAACCAAAGATAAGTTTGGGATTGAGAGGCCTACGCCCTAAACCCCAAACCCTAAACCCTGGAAAAAGGTCCGCCAAAAAAACCCTAAACCCCAAACCTGAAACCCCAAAACCATAAACCCTAAACCCCAAGCCCTAAAGCCCTAAGCCCTAAACCCCAAACCCTAAACCCCAAACCCTAAACCTCAAACCCTAAACCCCAAACTAGGGTTGAGAGGCCTGCGTTGTCCTTGTCTCCTTCAAGAGAGCCCAGTCAGAGTTGGCGACCCACCAGCAGAAGATCCTTTGGCAGATCATGGCTTCATGGTTTCAGGGTTTAGGGTTGAAGGGTTTGAGAAGTTAAGAAGGGTTTAAGGGTTAGAGGGTTAGAGGGTTTAGGGTTTAAGGGTTTATGATTTAGGGTTTATGATTGAGAATTTGGGAGTTCAGGGTTCAACGTTAATCTACCCTTACATCCCCCTTTTTCATCCCCCTTACGCAGCTGTCTGGCCCCTGAGAGTACCCCGGCCCTTTTGAGAAGCCGGCCTTGCGAAGGAGCTTTCCATTTTCCATTTCTTTTCTACCAAAGATCCCGTGTGATGGCCTTACTAAACATTTGGGGAAAAATATTTTTCCCCAAGTACTAAACATTTGGGGAAAATATTTTTCCCCAAATGTTTAGTGTACAGAAATCATTGAATTTTTTCTTTGGTTTGCATCGCCTCTGGATCGGAGTCACTGTTAGGATCTTCAAGATCGATGACCACATGGCTATTGGCATCTCGGGGCTCACGGCCGATGCGCGCGTCCTGGCCGACTACATGCGCAACGAGTGCCTAAACCACAGCTACTGGGTTGCTGTTAAGGAACTTAAGGTAAGTCACGGCAAAATGGGTATATAGGGTTTAGGGTGACTAAAACAAGGGCCCCCTATGCTTTACTATATGCCCATAGTATGCTAAATTAATTTAACAGCAACCCAGGCTATGTCTACGATGCGCCGATGAATGTAGGACGGCTCGTGGCACAGGTCGCCGACACCGGAACAGGTTTATCAAGACTTTGTGTTGTTTTGATAGTGCTAGACTCACCCAAAAACATGAGCTACAGGCTTACTAAATTGACAGAGTTTTGACATGTTGAGTGCGCCCGATCATGACTCAGGACAAGTCCCAGCAGAAGACCCAGAACTCCTCTAAGCGGCCCTACGGAGTGTCTTGTCTTTATGGCGGGTTCTCCAAACTGCTGCCTATTCGAAGCTTGCCATAAGAAGTATGCAGATGAACTGGATGTGTATGACGGAACTTAAAATTAAAGAAATACATAGAAACACTTTTTGTTTTTTGTGAGAGATCTGCTATTCCCCCTCCTCCTCTACTAGTTCCTGCCCCCGCCGCCATCACCGCTCCGGCGCCACCACCGCCGCCCCAACGCCCGCGCTACCCTCGCCGACGCCCGTGCCAGCACCAGCGCCACTAAAGATGTCCCCGCCACCACTACTACTACCACCACAACGTCTACTACAAACAACACTGCCGGGCTTATCGATTGGGTATAAATAGAGCTCAGACATTAGTCCTCAGAATGCGACCCCCAACAAGGGACCCCTAACTTGGGAAACCCAGAAGGGCATTCCCGGAACCTTAAACCTTAATCCTCTAAGCTTCAAGCCTTAACCCCTGTTACTACCACCTGACTAGGTTGGCCTTCTTGTGGCTGGATGTGACGAGAAGGGGCCCCACCTCTTTGAGACCTGCCCCAGCGGCAACTACTTTGAGTCTCCCGGCTTCGTGGGATGATTCTACAGCGGTTTGGGCTTTGGGGGCTAGAGTACAGGTTTATCTCAGAATGCATATGAGCCTTAGTGTACACTCCTAGTATCCCCCTTAATGACCTCTTTAATTTATTATTTATTCAAGTTGCTAAAGGCTGCAGGTAAAGCAGCCAAACAGCTGAGTAGACGGAGTGTAGAAGTTGACCTGGACACCGGTGTGTTTGCGGTCCCTGCAACCATGCCTAGACAATTCTGACGCTAAACCCTGAACACTAAGAGATTGCAGGAGCCCTGACCCAGATGAAGCTCCCCCTGCCCCGCCATTTTCTCCACGCCCATCCAGGCCCCTCCCTCCCTAGAAAAAACCGTCCACCTTCAGTTCCTGAAACGCAAGCGAGCACATGTCAATACTTATGTAGGGAAAAGTCCAAGCAGCAACCAACCGTAATATCCTAGGGTGCCAGGGTTGATTACAAGTACAATTAACATTCATGTTTCGTAATATGCCTAGCTTGACCAATAGTCATTGGAGTATCAAGAAGGTGTTTTTGCGGGCCATTGCGGGAATGCAGGGGAGGGTAGTCAGGGCTGTTGGGTACCCATGACAGCAAGCCTCCGGGTCCCTGATTTCTCTAATGTAGTGCCATTACATTACTGGAGACCTGGTAATACTTAGGCGGTTGGGAGGTCATCACCATCACTACTATACTTGTCGAGCTAAAAGTACTTATTGTCATCCTCAGGCAACCTGCAGATGACGTTTAAGGTTCCCTTGTATATGTGCTTGCATAGCCTTTGTATACTATAAGCGCAAAACTCCCAAGGTACAAGGTATGTGGGATTGTGCAAGAATTGCAGTATCAAAAGTAGGACAACTATACTTTTAGCTGGCCTATGTTACTTCTTACTATCCTGTATGGCGTCCCTTGGTTTGCTATGCTACCACAAGAAAACTCCCAGTGATTTTGCGACCCGAGGATACTAGATTCTAGGGTCTCATATGAGCTATAGTCTAAACTCCTAGTATCCCCCTTAATAACCCCTATAGTAGTCCCCTATATAATCCCCTATTTAATAGTTTAGATTATGGCTCATATGCTCTTGTAGACTTTTTTCCTGACCCCGGATAGGTATTATGCCATGGCCATTGGCGGTCGGTCCACTTCGGCGAAGACATACCTGGTCCCCCTGCCCGCAGAAGAGTTACGTCAGGGGTTCTCAGGGTGTCCGAACGGGCAGAGGAGGGCATAAAGTTCAGGGTTTGTTGCCTGCGGTAATCCTACGAAAGCCGCATGTGCTGGACGAATTGGAGGTCGAGGATCCCTTTTGTCGACTCTGCACTGCTGATCCATGTACCTTCCCTAGACCGACCCCCAAAGGCCACCCCAAAAAATACTGTCCCTGAAGAGGGGGGCTATATAAGGTTTCATGTTGGTTTGAGGGAGATACATACAAACTCAAGAGTTATGTTGCGGCATGTGGCTGAGGGTCCCTAAGCCGCAAACTGGCATCTAGGATACCGGGCCTTCTTCAGGCTTTTCTCAAGTCTTTTCCTTGGCGCTCCGAAGCTAACGGTAGGGGTGTAAGTCTGAGGCTGCCGATTCTTGGTGTAAGGGTCTGCTTAACCTAAACCCTGAACTGCTCTCCTGAGCAGGAGAAGTATTTCGCTGAGTTCGAGACTGCGGATGTAGATGCGCTGATCAAGCATGGCCTCGAGGCAAGGGCTTTAGAGTTCAAGGGTCTTTATGGTTTATTTTTTCTTATGGCATGCAGTCTTTCCTCCAGAAAGAGTGGGATATGGTTGATTATGGGTTTTATGGGTGTGGCCTTGCTGACTTATCAGGGTGGTGCCGCAGTTGCTGCGATGCGTGTATGTCACTCACGTTCGTGAGGGGCTCCAAGTCTTTATTTGGGTTGGACATCAAGGGCATGTATGCGTTTTGCAGGGTTTTGGGATGTAGGACTACCGCAGAGGTTGTGGTGGATTTTCATATAGGTGTTGTTCCCCTATGTGGCGGGATTTGGGTTAAGAGATCAAATGGGGCTTTCTCAAAAAAGGCGCCCTTTACGACCCGAGAAATGTGCATGGATCATATAGGGAACATAGGGGCCTCATTGTATATGGACTACTTTGAGACGCTCCCCATATTGCGAAAGCCTGTTGCAAAAGGGGTTGTGCAGGTATCACAGGTTTTGGCAAATTTTGAAGGAAAGGAGCGAGGCATTGCCTCAATTTGCAGAGTATTTTTGGTCCTTGAAGCTCTACAGCGGCATCCAAGATCCATTTGTCCAGGGACCCAGACCCCCTAAAGGATCCAAAAAATGGAGCCCCCTAAGAATCCCCTACTTTCCCCAATGTAGTAATGGGTTCATATGGGGGGGTTCGATTTTTTGGATCCTTTAGGGGGTCTGGGGATGCAAGGTGCTCTGGTCCTTCGGAGCTTTTCAAGATGGCAGGGTCCTTTCACGCCCCCTTCCTTTTGAACTTAATTGCTATTAGGAGCAGGGGTAGGAGGTGTAGTAGAAGTGGCGGTGGTGGTGGTGGTGGTGGTGGTGGTGGTGGTGGTGGTAGAAGTACTAGTAGTAGTAGTGCTAGACCTTTGACCCTAAACCCTAAGATTGAATACTGGAGGCGATGAACAAGACCACCTCCTCAGACCAGTCCCTCACGACGAAGAACACTGCGGTGGCCGTGATTCAGATGGGAGGCAGATGCATGTAGGATCATGTGGGGTATGTAGGGGTGTACCAGCTTATATAGGAATATGTAGGGGACAGCTGGGAGTAGATAGAAGAACATCCAGTCCAGAGTGCCAGACAAGCAAATCATGACCGCTTTTGACGGCTTTACTGTGGATTGTTGTGGAGTTGAATCCCCCCTGCTACGAACCATGTATTCTCAGGCTCTAGCACCCCTGAAAGATGCTGCAGGTTTGCTGCGACAAGCCTAAACAAGTGCATACATGGGTAGTTCCGACAATTAGGGTCCCATTTAGGTACCCCTAAATATGAAGTGCCGTAGTATAGTATATCCCCAAAAGGGGCGCATACTTTTGAGAACAACCCACATGGCAGTAGCGTGCCCAAACCTGGCGCTTGGCTTTTTTTCGGCAGAAGTCGTGCTGCAGCATGTGGACTGCAGCCATTGAGGTGGAAACAAGCCAGTTCTGGACTGCCTTCGATGATGCAAACGATAAAAGCATGGTCAGAAATTTGGATCTAAACAAAAGGGGAAAACAGTTTCCCCCAATACTAAACAAGGGGGGGAAACTATATTTCCCCTAAACCCTAAACCCTGGTTTACTGCAGGCAAGTACCGTGAGCTTTCAAGCGACGAGTTGCAGAAGGTCATCGATAGCCTGGAGAAGAAGGCCAAGCCCTGAAGCTTCAGGGTTTCGTGTTTAGGGTTTAGGGTTTAGGGCTTGCTATAGGGATTACTATAAGCATGGGCAAAAGGATCCATTCCTTCATTCCTAGCTTACCAAAGGCCATTACTTTGACCCCGAAATCTTCGTGACTTCTAAGCCCAAACTTTTGGCGTCTTAGTAACCCGGTAAATTCAGCCGTACATCTCAAACCTCACATAGCCCTCGAATTTTAGAACCCCTCGCCGACAATCGCTATATTAGAAAAGCATCACCTGGAGATTACTGTCCATTATAGTAGTTTCCATTTGATTTTCCATTATCCCTATATAACCCCAATATAACCCCTATATAACCCTGTAATGCCTACATAATCCCTGTAGTTAGCATAGCCAGATTTTGTTCCGATTGAGAACCAGCTTGAACACTCGGACAGTATTCGAAAACATATTTGTTCAGTTATGTCTTGGGTCATTCCCCCTCATCGTCCTTGTCCTCAAACGGGTTGTCATGGGCTTACTTAACGCCTCATGCCTCTGGTCGTAATTGTTATTGCAAAGAGCAATCCCCCTATATAACCCCTATATATCCCCTATACTACCCTATATATGCGCATATATACCCTACACCTACTTTGTTTCCTGATGTACTTGGCCTTGGCATGCTCCTGGGTTCTAGCTCCAGTCTGACCGGGTGCTTGCCAGAACTGAATCCCGTAAGGGCTACAACGAGAAAGCGGCTTCCAGCGGAATAATACAAAAAGATCTGCAGGCGCCGGATGACGAACCCATGCCCGAGGAGCCAGCACCTGCGACCGAGAGCGCAGCTCCTATGGACACCTCGTGAGCAGGCAGGAACCTGGGTTCTGGATTCTTCTGCTTGAAGGGTTTTTCGGGGCTATACCCTGTAATAGTGGTATCATAAGAATAAGGACCCTGTTATAATCACCATTATGCCTTGGTCACTATTGCAGGGTGGGGGGTGCACCTAAGCTATCCAGGGGTTCTTCGTGTGCCCGATTCAAAAGTCTAGGGGTGTGTGGATCGCAGCGTTCAAAGAGTAGAGTGACAGCTTGTTGATGGAAGGGTGTCGACTTTTAATTAGTTATCGACTCTGACTCAGCATGCTGTTGCAAAATGAGAGTTTCAAGGTCTAGGACTCCTCGTGAGAGTTGTGTGTGCGTATATGGCCTCCATCAATGGATTACAGCGGTTGGAACCATGTATGGTCCAAGACAGCCTTCCGCATGAGAGTTTCTCAAACGGACTCGCGGAGATAAGGGGGATGTGAGGGTGGGGACATATTTTGTGCATATTGGGGCTATTTTATACAGTGCTCCACCCCGATTGTTGTTTCCCAGACATCCTCCCTACACGTTGGGTACTGCCCCCAGCCAGTAACAGCTAGATCGTAGCTATGTTCTGATTATGAAGCCTCAAAATTGAGCCCTACGAAGTCCAAAACTCAAAGTCCCCAAACCCTAAACCTATGTATCCCAAGGGTCCCTATCTAAACAAACAGCCAAGTTAGGAGCTAATCCCTAGCCCTATCTGCAGTCCCAAGCCCTACAGTAACGGTTTCGGGTTTCAAGGGATTAGGGTCGGGGGTGCAGGGTTTAGGGTTTGGGGTTCAGGATTTAGAACTTAGGGTTCAGGCCTGGACCCTAAACCCTAAACCCTAAACCCTAAACCCTAGACGCGAGATCCTGGTCCCTAAAATCCCTGAAGTTCTGAAGCCAAAATCCTGAAACCTAGCCCGAAGTAGTGGCTTCAGTGATTCGACTCCGAGTTAGGCCCCCATACTAGAGCCTATGGTTCTAGCCTCAGCACTGCAGAGGCTCTGATTCACTCAGCCCGCTATATGGTTTCCTGGGGGGTGTCTACATGGGATATGACTCAGATAGGCAGGATTATGCTAGGTACTTTAATTTGCTTGTTAGTAGAGAAATCTTACCAGCCCCACATAGAAATACCTCTGAAGCGACAATCAGGGAAATGATTCACCATGCTCATCGCCCCCTGAGAGCGGACCTCCCCTATATAATACATCGCCATATTCCCTGAGGTTGGGTCGCAGTTTCGATGCTCTGAGAGCAGTGTCACAGGCCGTAGAGCATATCCGGTCAATTCGATGAGAAAGCGCTCGTTTTTGGAGTTGTGCCATTACGCCGAGATGCACACCAACATAGTCCAAGCAGACGCGAGTGATATGAAGGTTTGTAATTACCTAGCACTTTACAATCTTGCGATGTACCGCAGTGCGAGTGCTGTAGACAGCAAGGTCGGAGGTGTGGCTGCAATACCTGTGGTTCAAAAGTAAGTTGGTAGTAGTTTGAAGTGACAAGAACTGCTTATGTTCTCTGCTAGTTATTAGTTCGGCTTCAACATTTGTATTAAATGAGCGTGATGTGTTGCAAGAGGATGCAAGAGAGCTCAAGCACTGGACGTTAAACAGCTGTAGGCCTTCACCCTAAACCCTACACCCGTAGCTATTGAGCTCGAAGCCCTGAAGCTGCAGTCGCATACGCAAGCCACACCATGGAACAGTCGCCGAGCCACTAGTGCCAGCTACGTGCGAGATCGCCAGTGAATGGGCAAGGGCGAAAAGAGCCTTGGTGTTCTATTTGCGGGGGTGGAGGAGGGGAGGGAAATAACTGTGCAGGCGCCTAGGTGTTTGTCGTTCGGTTTTGTGAAGCTTTTCCCGAACTCGTGCAGGGTCAGTGGACACGCATACAGGCAAACTGTACTGGACTTTTAGCCTTTTTGGAATCTCTAGCCCGCTTGCCACTGTCTCGTATTTATTCCAAACGCCGTTCTGCCCGAAATGGGGTGGCATTCCCGAAGCGCGCAAGGCGTAGATTTGTTTGTTACAGATTTGAGGATTTTGCGCGAAGTGCTGATAGCACCACTTGTTAGATACATGGTTCTACCATATGTCCCATGCACATGCGTAAAAGAATGTGCTGCCTCTTCCAGTCATGTTAGAGCGCTCAAGGAATATCGCTGGCTCTGATCATAGCTCCACAATGAGATCGACCATGTACACTTCACCCGCCAGCCACATGTGTCTTCAGAACCTTCAATATGTTCGCATTTTTCTCGGAAGAACTTCCTGCCCCAATCATGGACTTTCAGTAGCGTACAGGCCCCTGTACAGGTTATGCATTGCATTTTTGCTTGAACAGAACAGCCGGCCAGAGCAGGGCACCTTTTCGACTGCCTTGCTGCAGCTGAAGCCCTGCTTTGTTCAGATGTCCTTGATTCGTAGAATCTGCTACGGACACTCCCTGCGGTTGCTGCTGCTTCCGGGGCTGATGCTACGTCGTCATCGTCGTCGTTGTCGTGGTGATAGTAGCAAGAGCACCAGCACTAGCAGTAGCAGTAGTAGCACCAGGGTCAGCAAAACTAACAGTATTAATTGCAGTACCCGTATCAGTAATAGGAATAGTCATTGTAATAGTCAGTAAGAATAACAGCGTGACAGCCGCAGATAACAGGAATTGGAAGCAGCAGCTCCAGATGGTAAAAGAAGAAGTCTTCGTAGAAGTAGCAGTAGCGCTGGCAGTAGCGCACAGGCCCAGATCAGATCCTACACACCATTCCCGGCCTCGTAAAGCACTAAACGCTAAACCCTAAACCCTGTGTTGGAACTCCCTTACTTGGGGAAACCTCCCACCACAAGCCTCAAAGCCAGCAACCGATAGAGGCTTCCGCCTAGCTGGACTGCTGCCGCAGGGTCTTCCGAGTGGCAACTACAGGCCTGAGTCCTGAGCGGGTTTAGGATTTAGGGCGATCCCCCAAGGTGGTACACCTTTTTTTGGAAGCTCATTTTTTTTTAAACCATGCCTTTGTGTAGAGTTGAGGGTGTAGGGTTCGACTTTTTTTGTGTTTTTGTGCATGTGGTGAAGCACATTTTCAATCGAGTTCTGATCTTTGGATTCTGCCGCTGCACAGTATGCTCAAACTTTCCCTGCACGTCTGCATCAAATTCGAAATGTGGGCTAGTGCTTTATGAGATGATTACCCGCTGGTTAGCATGATTTTTCGCGGTATTGTTTGATGAAAAAAGCCCCACCGCATCTGAGTCAGAGGGGGCTTTCATTGCTCTCTAGTGCTTTGCAATGTGGGTGTGTGCCGGAATTGTGGTTCTTTTTCCCTTCGCGGTCCTCAAGAAAAGGCTCTCTGCTCATTATCGGCGTATATGTTGGGTGGACGCCCGACCCAGTAATAGTGATTATAGGGGATAATAAGGATTATATTAGGGTCCTATTCTATTCTTACCATATCACTATTACACGGTGGGGGGTCCTCCTTATGTATATGCTGCGGAGGGTCCAGTCCTCTAAGCTTCCCCGTAATCTTCATTGCTGACCTAACATCCCAGGAGGTGCCTTTCCGTTTGATTTCAAACTGCGGTCCCCATCCCAAGGAAAAGGGACAACTTCCTAGAAGGACCTTTCAAGAAGTGCATGAATTCTGGAGGGTTTTGGTTGTGCTTCAGGATGTTGGGTTCAGGGCCTTGAATTTCGAGTTTCGCAGTATGGTATTGCTTGGTCACCCTTCAGACCTGAAAAAGATTTGTCTTGGAATGTAGAGTAGTTTATGAAAACTGTTGTCGTGAATGGTGTCTTTATGGGCATATTATAGTAGGTTATAGTATATTTGAGTATATTACAGTATATCGTTTTCGTAGCATGTTATGTTTGGGACGCGGTATGCGGTCTTCATAGGGCTCGCCTAAGCATGTGTGGACGTCTTCACTACGGCGCAGGGCCCAACCAGTCGTTACCCAAGGCCTCGGTGAAAAACATGCTCCAACCCTTGGAATGTTGTCCCAAACATAATATACTATACTTTAATATACTATACTATAATGGTATAATATATTCAAATATACTATAGCCTGATATAATATGCTGTAAAATATTATAATATACTATAACATATTATAATATACTTTAATATAACGTTTCAACACACAGGTGCTGATTCTTCAAGTGACCACTCATTGTATGATGAACTCTGAAGTAAAAGCTTGCTGCAGCGCAGTTGACTCCGGAACTGTGGCAGGCCGGCACATAGCATTTGGGGAGATCTTGACGACATCTGCCCTTTCTGAACTGGCCTTGCAGACGGATATCGGGATTCTCCAGACCTAAATTTTGAGGTCTTTGGTTGCATCAGCTATGACAAAGGTCCCCAAGTGAATCTCTATTTCATCCGGGCTGGGAAATCCTCGTTGAAGTGGAGCATTCTAAGATGCGAGATTGGCCGGATCGCAAAAAGACTTCACTCAGACACCTGACGAGACAGAACAATGTCGTGTAAGGTTCAGGGCGTTAGAGGCCGGCAGGTAATTCGATGACAAAATAAATAGAGGGTTCGTATGTAGCTCAGCGCAACCTAGAGAACAAGTCTATCATGTCTGTTGAGTCTGCTGGTTGAGGCAGGGAATAAGTGGCCTGCCGTCTTGGAAGGCAACCTAAGAACTTAAGCCCTCACCTTGGGCCTCTGACCCCAAGCCCCAATCACACCCAAAGCCACATCTGAGTAGTATTTTATTTGGGGATACTATGGTACCCAATGTAGAGTAAGAATATATTCTCCTTTTGGGGTATAGTATTTTATATGAGGAACATAATCTTACCGGGTTTAAGCACCAAAAAAAACGCTACTCGTCTGGGCACGCTCATTTCCTTCATCCTAGGAACTGCTTCAAGGTTTGGGGAATAATGTAGACCCCGGATTAAGAAACCCCTTCCCCCTAATAGGGATTATGATAGGGATCCTAATATTTAGGCCCTTAAAAGGAAGGGGGTTTATGAATCATGGGTCTACATTATGGAA